TCCACCAATGCATCCTTCAACGTGAGTGCAATAACCGGCATGCTCCGAAAGCCAGATACGTGGACAGAAACCTCAGCATCGACGGCTTCGCACGGAGACCGGTGCACTTCGTTGTCGATGCCGTCTGGCCGAACTCCCCCTCGTGAGCGCCTTGAACAGAGACATCTTCAAAGACATCCGACAAGACGTTGAAGCTGAGGATGGCGCTTCACACCATCGCGACAGCACAACTGTATCTCGAGGCATGTGGAGTTGCGGGTGTCTAAATATATCAAAACACGCGCATCGCAATGTGTACACCTCTTGTGGTTTGAGCATGCTACTAGAGCGGTGCCACTGGCCTGGCTTCCAGGCGGCAATGCCTTCACCAACGGAAGCACCGAGCATCCTTGAGCATGCATGTTGAAATGCGCACAGCCTTGCCTTTCGGAAGACTTCGACGGTCTGAACCTCGTCGGTGGCTAGATAGAGCACCTGGTCGGTTTGTACGTGCTGTCGAGAATTTCATTCCATTTTCCAGCAGTCGTGGGGCCTGCTGGACACCGGGCCTCAGCAACCGGCTCGGTGGTATGGATCTGACTGCAACTTTCCTCGAGAAGCCGGCGGAGTCTGCTGCAGGAGGGCCTTCGCCTCAGTGTCTAGCGTCAAAGGCAGACAAAAGAATGGGCAAACTGAATCTCTTGAAGCCTGCACGTGTGCCGTGTGCCGGCATCTGTGGCAATCTCAGAAATCATTTTGAGCTGTAAGCCGCGGGCAGCTTCAAGGTACTCCTCCGGTGGCGGGTTCCGCTGAGCAAGCTGACACGCTGCCACCTTCATTGCAAGATATCTAAAGTATCTGGCAGGCACTGGAATTCGGCAGAGAGACCACATGATTTGATGCCTCATTTGTGCCCAACCGCTTGTGAACACCCACCTCTGCACTTCGGAGTGGCAGATGTAAGAACAAACAGGCACGGAACCAAGCGAAGAGATTGAGTCTTCCGCCACACGGGCTCTTTCTGGCCAGGTTTCCGTCACCTGAACCAGAGCTAAATGCCTCATAACTCAGCTTGCAATCCCAAGCAACTGTCTCGAGAGATTGTGTCGCGATCTTTCGCAGCAGTGCTGCCTCTCTAACTCTCCGACTGATCAGCGGGGAGATTGTGAGGGCACCCTGCATTGCGCAGTAGTAGCCTGGAACACGGCATAGAGCGTGAAGACTATAAGAGACACAACAAATGCAACAAGCACTGCATTCTACCCGAGCATGGATTGTAGCAGCTGCAAGGAGCCTGCGCGCAGGGCTTGGAAGTCCTCAACACCCGCAGAGGCACTCTGCACGGATTTGAGCTGTCAGTCGACTCAAATCGATCCTATTGCAAACGGATTCGCGCTAGTTCTGGAATTGGCTTCCGCAGTCCTTGGGAGGCACGCTCCAAATCAAGCCTCGCAGCATGTTCCTGCCATGGCTTGTGCGAGCATGCGAAGAACGTCCAACTGCAAAGTTACAAGCAGCTTGACTGCACAGCCGAGTTCTGGGCATGAAGAGGATGCTCACCCTGAGCAACTTGGCAGAGACATTGCTCATGAAAAGGATGCTTGCCGCAGCTCGGACCTCTTGTTCATGTTGTAGGACGAAGAGTGAAGCCGCCGGTCGGCGGAGTACTGTCAAGAGATTGTCTGGGCAACGAGAGTCAGACAGCTTTCAGTTTCACCAGACAGATGTACATTGACTGCCAGCTCGGTTGGGATATGCGAAAGGACTCTTGTGTGCTGAGTGTCCTTGCCCCAGGAGCGACAGCGCTGAGTTCTTGAGAAAAGGTGCTCGAAGAGATCGAAACCAATGGGGCCATACCTTGAAATCAACGTTGGCACGATTTCTCACCTAGTGCACAAATAGCAAACCAGCAACGGAAACCCAGTCCCACTCCGATTTCAGGCGCGCACTGAAAATGACCCTCGCCTCCCTTCCGCTGCCAATCCTTGAAACCCGCAGTCGTCTGTGACCAAAGTCTGGTGAAGATTTTCTCTGGGCTGCCGGCTACAAGCACAGGGGCGCCGGGCTTTGCCAGCAAGAGTGCCTGACTGCAGAAAGAAGCAGACTTGCCTTCCGTGCCGAGCTTTTTATCGTCGATGATCATCTCCTGTATTTGCCAGGTTTCTGTAAGTACCAAATGGAAGCCTACTTATCCGACCTTCGACTTAGATCCAGTGGAAACGGGTGGAAACAAAACAGCTGCCTCCCTTTCGCTTCGTCACCTCTCGATGCCGCTCTGGACAATACATTCGTGAGCAAGGGTGTGTGTGATGTGTTCTGACCGCACTTTTGACGTCGGCCACCCCTACTTGTACCGTTCTCTGCAGCGGTGCTTCTCTATCAGCTCCTGCATCGCCCCGACAGTGACGCAGCGCGAAACTAAAGATTTCTGGCAGCTGGTCCAGATTCCGGCCGCACTCGACTTTTCAATCGCCGAAAGTTGGTTGACTCGAGTTCTCGTTCCGGTCTCGTCTCTTTCTGAGCCTTCCTTCCCTGCATTATTTGGTCTCACCAGCATCCCGGAGAAGCTCTTTCTATCCCGAGGGGTCGCTGAGCGTCCCGCATCTAACAGTTGCAAAATGTTGGCGAAAAGGCCTGCAACCAACACACATCAGAAAGTGTTGCAAGTCCTCAGCGAGTGCTAAGGTTTTGGCCATTGTCATGGTACGTGACAAGAACTGCGCTGTAGTCGGCCTGAGCGAGAATGGCATGGAGTTTTTATCGAATGCAATTCACTCTTGATGCAAACGATCTAGCCTCGAAGCGTGGATCACAAAGCTCCGTGAGCCTCATTCAGCACATGAGCATATTCCTCCGCAATCTGTGCAGCCTAGCTCCGTGCCTGGGCAGGGTGACGCTTAGAAATGCCTCAGCAACGTCCCCTCGTCCCCTAAAGAAGCCTTTGCGTGTTTCGCGTCTTTTACAGGGCAAACTGCCTTGGAAGCAGTATCGCCCAGCAGCGGCTGTTCTGAATTGGCACCGGTAGCCAAACCATGCCAACCTGCGAAGATATCTGAGCAGTTGCCCATCTGGAACAAAGCTCCAGGAAGCTCCAGGAATCTGGCAGGCTTGCAGGACGGGCGCCTCGAAAGGCCAAGCGTCAGACTACGCATCTGGGATGCAAGAACTCCGGAGCATCAAGCGCCTCTCGGCTTTCAGCTGTCACATTGTAGAGGTAGGTAAAGTACAGCTCTTCCGCGTGTTCCGCCTGTTTCTGAGGCACGGCCCCTCCCGCGGCGGAGTGGTGGGGTGATGCTTAGTCCGATGCAGCTGACTCGTTGCCTTCGTAAACCACCTGTTGGCTTGAACAAGATCTTCAGAAATGCGCCGCACAAACGAATCGTGCTGCCTCCCAGTACGGAGCCACGTAGTCCAGCACTGCCTACAACTCAGAGCCGCACATACTCTGTGTGACAGGCCGATGGGCTTTGGCGACTGGCAGCTTGTTCAGGTGCTATCGGAAAGACTTTGCCCTCCGCTCCTGTAACCCCAGCGGCTCTGACGAAGTAGAGATGTCCCAGGCCTTGACGAAAGGGAGACAGGAACACAGCAAGTCGCTGAAATGTTGGAGAAGCATGAAGGAAAATCTGATTCCCCATGCAGCAGCGGCAGTGTGCTGCCACTGAAACGAGTTCAGCATTCTGAGCTTTTCATTTCTTGAGCGTGTCTGTGATCCAGCATTGAGCTGCTGAGGGAGCTAGCCGTGCTGTGCAAGTAAACAGCCTCATTCGTGGAACAGCGGTGCCCTCGGCCTCTGTGGTCAGGGGCTCGTCCGGCTCTGCATCAGTGCTGAGGAGCTCACTGGCCTTGAAGCATCGATCCCACAGAGTGCATGCAGACAAGATGCACACGAATCCACCATGTTGCGTTCGAAATGCAGCCCAACTTGCTATGCAAGTCTGGTCGCACTACACAAGCAGGGCGGCTGACCGGTCGCCAATCAACCGGCTGTGACTTCCATGCCTGGAAAGTGAGACCACGACTCTTTTCAAAAGCTGTCATGGTCACCCCTTCAGATTTCGATTCCGACGGATGTAATGCCAAGGAGGTAATTACAAAGACGAGGCCGCCATGGCCTTCGCGGCTTGCGCCCAAGAGAACTGGCCATTTGGCATGTCGAGGCCTGACTCTCAGCACATTGGTCAAGTAGATCAATGTTCATGCACATCGACTAGCTGACGACCGGGCCTGGTGCCAGGCAAGGCCAATTGCTATGCTAAGGCATCTTGGAGCCATGCAAAGACCTGGTTTGTACACTAAAGTGTCACCTGTTAGCCTGCAGTCCATGGCTTGACGAGTCTTTGGGCAGATTCGCAGTGTAAAGCACCCATTCGCATGAGCAATCAAAGTGAAGCTACACCGATCCACTTCTGAGTCATGGGGTTGCCATGGATCATGGAGCGTTACACTTGCTAGTCAGTGCTAGTCGCATCTGCAGCTTGGATATGGCACAGGTTGATCGAGAGCCAGTGCCCAAGCGAAGCCGACAACGTCTTCAGTTGGACATGGGAGCACCGATGCAGCAACCTGTAGCAACAACCGAAGCCTCATTGCACTTCACCGAAACTGCCACGAAAAATGGTATCGCTGCGGTGATCTGGAACTGACAACCATCGCTACAACGGGACACTGTCAAGACCAGCACCGCGGGCTCGAAAATTTGGCTTTAAATATCATCGGCGACAGCAGCAGGCTCTGAGGTAGCATGTTGTTACTTGGGTCCTGCTGCTCCTCCGGAAGGAAAGAGCCCCTAGTATAGTCTCCTCGTGGCCACGTTGACACATGTCACAACACAACAGGCGATGCAGTGAGCATAATGATAAACAAGGCATCCAGAATAAAATCAGAGCAGGAGCAGCTCAGTGCTCCGGATAGGGATAGGCAGTCGGGGCATGGGATGAGATGCCGGAAGCTTTAGAACATCGCTTTGCGATGGTAAGGCCGGCATCTCAAGCACCGGAGAACCGATAGTTCTGAAGGCTTCACGCAGTTGCTGCTTCTCGTTCGGCTGCTCGCTTTGCCAACCGCTCTTGCTTCCTTAGTGCAGAACACGCACTCTTTGCGGACTTTGCCCTCTTCCAAACAGCTGCGGTGCTCTTTCTCACGCTTCTGCTTCTTGAACTTCGCCCACCTCTGTGACTCCTTGGCGCGAGGCTGACAGGTCTCTGCTTTAAGACCCTCCGAGAGACAGGGTCAGCACGCGCCAGTTCAGGAGCCACAGGGGGACCACATTATTCCTGAGCGAAGACACAGACTGAAAATCCCCCAAACTATGACAATGTATGCTCTGCTGTGCTGCATGTAAATGTGCCTACAACCGTTTTGGTCTGGAGCTGAGGCACCATTTCTCAGGGATTCTGCGTGGGTTTTTTGGCGGTGGTCGCTTGCGGCTGATAGCACTGCATGCTCTGTAGACAGTCCCAAACCTCGGCACACGCATGCTTGCGGAATCGACTTCATGAAGACAAGACGACTCGCTGCAGCTACATGTACAAAAAAATGCCGGCCGCCATCTTGTACGAAACATGAACTTTTATGTCTCTTGCCGTGAGAGAGATGAGGGCTGTCTAGAGGAAGCCGAGGGGCATTGGATCTGTGTGCCAACCTCTGCGGGACAAGAGCAAAATAGAGCCAGGAGGATCAAGCACTGCATGCAACGTGATGATGTTTTTGCTTAAGCGGGTCCGCAGACATTAAAGTGGCGGCGAGACGCAGGCATGGCACCACCCTTCTTTGCAGGAAAAGGAGACATCCTGCCGAGCAGCACCAGGCAGATGCTAACATTGCCCGTGGACATCATTCACGGTGACAGATCCGTCCTCGACGCCCACCTCAGCGGCCTTCAGGATCTCAATGCCTCACAGAACTGCTGGCCAGAGCTGTGAAGGATCATGCAACTGGCCTAAGGCGCTGACCTCGCTTCATGGTGGCCACTTTACCGCTCGGCAGAAACACAACCTTCACCTTCGTGCTCAAAGTGGACACATGCACTCATGGGAGCCGCTAGAAATGCGTTTAGCAATGCGACTGCTTTAGCTGTGCCATTTGCGCCACAATGTTTCGACTTTTTGTTTATGTAACCAACACTGCCAGATCAGCCAAGGTGCGGGACCTGAGCACAAGGGCACGGTATTCATTCGGTTGTCGACACTGAGGCATACTTCTGACAGGTATACGACACCATGGTATGTAGCCTTATGTAATTGCTTTCCAGCAACCTGCCATGTAATGCCGACCTTGGCTCATAAGGATGATATGAAAGCAATATACGCAACAAGTCATCTTGGGTTCTGCCGAAGCTGGGCCGTTCACAAAGAGTCAGCGTGACACTGTCACCTCGCACCAGGCATCACCACCCACCGAATGAGCGACGTTCACAAAAGGTGGCGCTCCAAGCAGTGGCGAGCAACTGGCCTTTTCTCGCATGCCTCTGGCCCGTTTTGGGCCGAAGAAACTTTCAAAGCAAACGTTGTTCATTCACCTTGCTTAGCCTGTCTACCAACGCATGGCTGCTGCAAGGATGCCTTTAAGCATCGCCGTTGAACTAGCCCATGATCTCCTCTGAAAGCAAATGGTGTCGCCAAGTGGTGTCACCAGATCAAGTCAGGAAACGAGATGTAGTTTCGTCCTTCCAGGTTCCGGCATGCGCAAAAACTGCTCAGCAAAATGGTTGTGCAACAGGGGGTGTCTCCTCGTCTCAACAAGATGTGGAGAGCTCAGTACTTGCAGGTCTTCAACACCTGTGCCCGAGGAACCCTCCTGATGCTGCAATCGCTCTGTCCATCGTGTCTTCTGCGGCGTAACTACTCACTTCTTTATTTCCTCTCTGAGAGTCAACCACCTGGACCTAAGACTGTGCGACTGGCAGCAGGGGCTGATCGAAAGGATTGTCGACCCCCACATCCTTGAAGCCTCTGTTGCTGGAAACAACTTGAGAGGCAACTCTGACAAATGCCTTCCTGCCAATCAACGTGTCGCAGTGTGCCGGTCTGTTTGAAGCGAAGCGTGAAATCCCGTGTATAGTACCGATACACGGACTAACCGAAACTGAACTAAACCTGGCTGCAACCTGCGAGTACGAAAACAAGCGTCTTCCAAGGGAAACAATTTAGGTTCTTGGTCGCGCCTATCACAACACTGCCAGTGTCTTTGTCGATTTGATTTGAAAGCACCTGAATGCAAGGGCAATCGCAAACTTTAAGGAGTGCTGCTGCCCGTTCGGGCGATCTACAGATTTACTGGAGCCTGCTTGGAGGACGGATGCAATCATGTCGGGTTGACGTGTGCGCTCAAGGGGCCATGCAGAACAAAGCTCCCCACCAACCGATAATCGGATAGCCGTTGCAAACGAGCGGCGCACATCTCGGAAACACCGATGTTGGTTAAAGACTCTGCTTCCACAGGACCGTGTCGCTGTCGCCCAACGAACAAGGTGCGTCTCACCTGGCAGCCCATACGTCTTGACTTGATCCGTACCCTCCTGCACGATTACTGTGCGATTAGAGCCTTCGTCTCCTGTGGCAAATGGAAGTAGACAGAACAGTAGCCTTCCTCAGCAAGATCACTGCTTACATGGCACTTCTGACAGACAAGCAGCTTCCCCGAGTCTAGCCTTAGACTACACACATCCAAGAAGCTTCGCAAAAATCATCTCCTGGCTCGAAGGAAGCGCGATTTTGCTAGGCAAATCAGAAGGCGCGGGTAGTGGCTGCGGCCTCGAGGGTAGAAGTGGAAGCAGAAACCTCCGAGGCCGCAAGCTGAGAATTCCGGCGATGCAAGGTACTCGCCCTGGCGGGAACCAGGCATTTTCTGGGTCAGAAAAACCGACAAGCCGTGCCTTCTGAAAGCGCGAGCGTACATCTTCAGCATTTTCAATCCTAAGCGAAGCCGCGGGCCTGAAACCTCTGGCTACATGCAGTCAGCCTTGCAAACGCTGCCTCCAGTGTACAATCTCCACATTCCTGTTCTCGATCACCTTCATGGGTGGGAGTCCAGCATGTTGGGAGCTGTCAACATCGCTGCTTCAAAAAAATCATACCTTTCTGGCATATTCTGCCCTCCTCATCATGTTGAACAGTTGTCTGGCAGCACTTTGTTTCGGAGAAATGTAAAGTTTGCGCACGTTCGTGTGAACGGCCCTGGGAGCTCACTGACGCCCAAGGACTCTGCATTCGTTCGTCTGCTATCGCCGCCTGGTGAACAGTTTGTATGATTCGGTCATGCCAAGACCATGGGTTCAACAAAACCCTTCTCGAAAGATGCGTGCTCCCATGGAGGCTTGGCACCGAAAGTTAGCGCACGAGTTGTGATTCCGATATCTCCTGTCACATTTCTTGCTGATCTCACAACTTTTATGTACTCACAGTTCGGGAACTGCCTTTCGACCACGAATGGTTGAAAGGTGGCTGACATGCTGCAGCAGGTCTGCGCCCGATGCAACCTATGTTGTTGATAGTATCGCTGTTCTTTCTGTTCTTTCACTTGGAAAAACTAACCCAAACCATGCGCGCCTAGCTCGAAGAACCAGCGGGTTTCCGAAACCCCCAGTGAAATGCTCCATGGCAGGGTGCCCGCATGCCTGGATTCGTTTCTCCAGCTGTAGCAGGTACTCCTGAATTACGAATCTCGATGGGGCGATGCAAAGGCTTTGCTGAATTGTGCACCCCATTTCTCCTCACAGCTGTTGCGCATGAAGAGCTCCCCAAACGTTGCAGACCTCGTGGCATCGATGTTAGACTTTTATAGGAATGCTTCACGTGGAAGATCGGAAGCCAAAAAAGCCTATGAGCTACGAGCTGCCAGCTTTCGAAATCCAGGGCGCATGGATGCGATCTCGTTCTGCTCTGCTTCCAGAGCTCTCCGAAGCGCATCCACCTGTCAACTCTCCGTCTTCGCCTCGCGAAGCCCACATGTGCACCCGGCACCTCTTGCTCCAGGCCCTCGACAGTCGTGCTTCCCGGAGGAGCGCCTTCTTCCTCCTGCCGTGCATCTGGACCTGGAAGCCCGCCCGCGTAAACATTGCAGAAGTCTGCTGCTCACGTCTGCTCAAATCTGCTGAATGTCTGGAGCTCAGAGGAGGCACGCCCCGGCCCGGCGGAGCGAGCACTTTGCTTCAGCAAAGTGCTCCCAGCTGCACGGATCTGATTGCTGCGCATGGCACGCAGGGCCACAGGGCCGAATCAAGGCAACTAGGCTTTGACCTAGCAGCGCTTTGTACGCTCATGTTGTACTCAGCTACCGAACTCGGTCAATGCGCACCTATTTAGCCTGCTCAGTTCTCCCGATAATACTTGCAGGTAAGCTTCATTCGATGGTGGTCGTGCTTCTATGTACGACTCCACTGAAAACAAGCTGCATTCCAGGAAGTCAACCAGACCTGATCATCTAATCACATACTGTATGGTTAACCTAAAGTTTCGACGGCGTTGGTGCCCATGTGCCCATCTGCAGTGGGCAGTTCGCTGTGGCTGAATCTGCAAGCTTGAGCGCGGGGGTGAAGCAGCGTTGAAAGCTTCGGGCCTAGCACGAACTAGCGCCAAGAAACCAAAACGGGACATGCATGCAGCTGCACTCGTACAAAGCCCTGAGGAGGTACCACCTACTACAGAGCCTTGAAAACCTTGAAACACCAAATTCAAAGTAACTTCTTCTCACCCGCGCTGCTGAGTTTCATCCTGGCCTTCGGAGTTCTTGACGAGTGGTCCAACCTCTTACTGCAGAAGTTCCAGGAGCAGCCCGTGCCGGAGAGCAAACAAAGCACGCTCTGTCGGCTTTGTTTTCAAAGCAGTGCTCGTTCCCTGCTGGCCTCGTCCAAGCTCTTTCCTTCAACGGTCTCTCCATTGACTGCCACCACCTCGTCCCCCTCCAGCACCCACATGCCTCACGAGTGAGGCACTAGCAAACTAGCTTTTCCCTGGCAAGACGGCTGCAGCAGTCGCTGCCCCATCGATAACTCCGACCCCCTGCCGATGTCGGAGGCCTTCATCGCCATCAACAATGACCTCAAAGTTCGGATGTGTCTCGGGCTTACAAACACTTGCACGTGCTTGTCTTTGCACACGCCTGATATGCACTATGCTGAGTATGTGCCTGCATGCACGTGCTCGCAACCAAAGTCTTCTTGGACCGCCACTCGACGATTCAGCTGGTCGGTGTTCCCGTCCTGCATAGTATGCAGATCTGCGGCCACATCCGTCTCTGACCCGAGCTATCCCGAGATGCTTGCAATCACACACAAGTTCTAACGGTAATTTGAATTGAAATGGTGTTGATGCAACATATGCGTTACATGCGCCTGATGCTCGCCCTACGCATCACGCACGTCTCGCTGCCTCTCCCACGGATACTTGCGCCCCAACAAATGAAAACATTTCCTTCCGCTGGTATCACCTCAGTATACCCCTGTGCTGCTCGCTGAACGGCCCATGCCCTGGCTGGTCTTGTTTTCCAACAGGCTCACTCGCTCACTCTCTGGACCAATGCATCTACGAGTGAAGCATTGAATATCATTGCGCCGAACAGGATCCAGGTCAGTTTTTGAGCCAAGGCTTCCTTTGTTCGGGTGATATCGAAAAGTCATTAACAGAACAACAGCCCAGCCGATGAAAAGCTTGTTATGTCCGTGGCAGTGCTGCATCCAGCAGCCCCTGCTTCCTGTCTCTTCGTACCTCGCATCAAGCTCAATGATCTCAGCTAGACGTGCACTCCCCAAAGCTTTTCTGCAGGCCAGTTAGTTGTATCTGGTGGCATCCATCAGGCAAAGCCCCGAGCCGCGCAGATCCGCCAAGCGGAGTTTAGCTCGTTGCAGCTTGGCCTTTCTTGACACTGCAGGCATCGCCTCAGCTCAGCCGCTCAGCCCAGACGAAAACATGCTCTCTTCCTTCACAACAAGTCTTCACGAGAAAGACGTTCTGGCGCCTGGCACTTGCTGGCAAAGCGACGTGGTGAGACCTCTTCCATTTTTTTTCCCTCCAGATTGGCGAGCAACAAGTCACCACCTGCTTGGAAGTGCTGCCAGATCTGTCAGGTGTGGTATGGTGTGGTAGCAGTCAAGAATTTGCGAAGCATGTGGATGAAGCGGCACCTTCTAGGCTAGCCTGCACCAGGCTGCTTTGACCAAGATCGGTCTTGACCAGCCGAGCACGCACGAAGGCAGACCGACTAGGGTCAGCACTCCTGAAGCGACACAGAGTGGACAGTCGGCTTGTGCTACAACATACAGTGACATGCTTCGACTTTGTAGTGACATTGAGCGAGGATCAACTGATGGACATTCATGCAACCCACTCCTGATGCTAGCTGCTTACCGGTGAATTCCAAGAAGAGAAGTGCTGTGGACATTGCGAACGCTGCAGACTCTAGCTGTTTCATGCGCTGCCTGGCACAGCTTCCAGCAAGTCTGCCCCGTCGAGACAGGCCTCCACTTTCGCACAAGGCGAAAGGGACAAAGCTACGGACAGATCGAGGCACAGGTCGATTGATGGATGGATGGAGAGATAGATAGGATGGATGGCCATGCAGACAACGCGTGACACCGCGCACAAACATGTGCATTGCCTTCTGCAGCTGGACACCTGCGCATGGTGTTCGTCTCGTCTCTACATGCAGCAGAAGACGGCTATGCCGGTAAATGCATCCTCTGTCCTCAAATCCCGCTGACGTAAATTGCTGTCTGCCGTCCGCTCTCTGTCAGAAGTGTCATTACCAAGCTATAATGACCTTTAACACCAAACGACCGCGTGTACCCGATCTTTCGCCCTTGACCGCTCGTCTCGCATATGCGGCCATATTCGGTTGAGCTGCGGAGTGGGGTTTCTGATAACGCAAGGGCTTTGCAAACACGGGGTTGGATTGCCAGGATGTAGAATATGCATGCCAAGCTTTATATAAGATCTTATTGTTGCACATCGTGAGCTCGCTCCGCGAAGCCTTTTCTACTCAGCAGCACCCCTCGCTGGCTGCTTCCGCTTCGCGTGGAGCTCAGTGGCCTTATTGACCCAGATCGCTTTCGCTCGCACCAGGAAGCGTTGCCCTGGATTTCACGTTCGTATCGTATTCAGGGCACGCGTAAAGACAAACATAGCGTGCAGGACCGTGCCCGCACGCCTCGCAATCCACCTCCGAACGGAGAAACCCCAGCTGCTTTCATGGGGGTCCCGGGCCCTATGCACGATGGTCCCAACTCTTTGGCACCTTTCCTGGGCGACTCTCTCTCCGTCTCAGGTCCCTCTCTCGACCTCCACCCCGGCGCCCCCCCCCCCCCCCCAAAACCCACCCACCTATGGTATGGGTGCGTGTTCTGTTCTGCAAAGGTCTGCCACCTCTCGTCGCTTCGCTTCGCTTCGCAGGGGAAAGGCTTGCTTGCTTGCTTGCGGAAGGGTATGGGCCTCCGTGGAGACCCCGCGACGGTCTGTCTTCAAGGCCCCTTCCAGGGGAAGGCCTCGCTCTCTCTCTTTGCTTTGCTCGGGGTTTGGGGCGGGAGCAGTCTCTCTCTGTCTCTCGCTCTTTCTCGGGTAGAGCTGCCAGCAGTCTGGGCGGTGGGGTAGACGCATCAAAAAAAATAAAGGATCAAAAAAACTTACATCACGCAAAATACAGCAATTCCCCAAAAGAAAACAATATTTTCCTATGGATTTCTTTCATTTCCTTAGGATCTGATGGTTTTTCCTCGGGAAAACACGATTTTCCTACGGATTCCGTGGTATTTCCTTAAGTTTTCCTTGGTTTTTCCTAGGACAAACACTATTTTTCTATTACCTATGGCGTTCGTGTCATTTCTTCAGGTTTTCAGAAGGAAAACATACGTTATCTTTGGTTGTTCCTCGGAAAAATCGGGCCCCCTCATTTGGCGATTCTGGTTCAGCGGGGGGTTGGTGGGGGGGGGGGCGCAGCCCCCCCCCCATTTGCAGACGCAACGCTCACATGATGGGCTTCGAAAACACTCTTTGAATCAAGCTTGCACGGCTCGAAAAGCGTGGCAGTGGGTCTTTCGTTCTTCCGTGCCTGTTCGTGTCTCTTCCTCCGTTAGCACTCTAACATAATATAGCATAGTAAACCATAAGAACGACATAAGATGGTTCGACATCACAAAAATAGTGTGACATTTTCTGACATAACAGAACCTTGCTTCTTATAGCATATAACAACACAACAAAAGACGACAATACAATATATAAGAAGATAACATAGAACAAAACAACATCTTAGCTTATGGTGTAGTACATTGTAACATAGTACAATATAGTTTGTACATATACAACATAATATTTGGTATATTATATAACATCAGGTTACATTATGTTATGTTATGGTACATTACGATATTATGGCATATTCGATTGGACTACGTAGTATCCTACTGCTTGTATCTTTGTTTCTGTGATTCTTTCTTGGTCTTTCTCCTTCGTCGTTTCCAACTTTGCTTGTTTATTCTGGTTTTCGTTCTTTCTTTCGCTCGTTCATTTCTTTTATTTCTTTCTGCTGTTTTTCTTTATTCATTTCATACTGCCTTCCTTTCTTTCTTTCTTGCTTTCTTTCATTTTTCATTTATGTCGTTCTTTGTCTCGTTCGTTCTTTCTTTCGTTCTTGCGTTCGTTCTTTCTTTCCTTGTTGCTTTCGTTCTTTCGTTCTGTCTTCCTTTCTTTCTTTTTAGATACAGCAATTCTTGAATTTTTCCAAGGGAAAAGCACTGTTTTTCCTTCGGATTCTCTTTCATTTCCTGAGGATTTGCTTGGTTTTTCCTCGGGAAAACACGATTTTCCTACGGATTCCGTGGTATTTCCTTAAGTTTTCCTTGGTTTTTCCTAGGACAAACACTATTTTTCTATTACCTATGGCGTTCGTGTCATTTCTTCAGGTTTTCAGAAGGAAAACATACGTTATCTTTGGTTGTTCCTCGGAAAAATCGGGCCCCCTCATTTGGCGATTCTGGTTCAGCGGGGGGTTGGTGGGGGGGGGGAGGCGCAGCCCCCCCCCATTTGCAGACGCAACGCTCACATGATGGGCTTCGAAAACACTCTTTGAATCAAGCTTGCACGGCTCCAAAAGCGTGGCAGTGGGTCTTTCTTTCTTCCGTGCCTGTTCGTGTCTCTTCTTCCGTCAGCACTCTAACATAATATAGCATAGTAAACCATACGAACGACATAAGATGGTTCGACATCACAAAAATGTGTGACATTTTCTGACATAACAGAACCTTGCTTCTTATAGCATATAACAACACAACAAAAGACGACAATACAATATATGAGAAAATAACATAGAACAAAACAACATCTTAGCTTATAGTGTAGTACATTGTAACATAGTACAATATAGTTTGTACATATACAACATAATATTTGGTATATTATATAACATCAGGTTACATTATGTTATGTTATGGTACATTACGATATTATGGCATATTCGATTGGACTATGTAGTATCCTACTGCTTGTATCTTTGTTTCTGTGATTCTTTCCTGGTCTTTCTCCTTCGTAGTTTCCAACTTTGCTTGTTTATTCTGGTTTTCGTTCTTTCTTTCGCTCGTTCATTTCTTTTATTTCTTTCTGCTGTTTTTTCTTTATTCATTTCATACTGCCTTCCTTCCTTTCTTTCTGCTTTCTTTCTTTTTTCATTTATGTCGTTCTTTCTCTCGTTCGTTCTTTCTTTCGTTCTTGCGTTCGTTCTTTCTTTCCTTGTTGCTTTCGTTCTTTCGTTCTGTCTTCCTTTCTTTCTTTTTAGATACAGCAATTCTTGAATTTTTCCAAGCGAAAAACACTGTTTTCCTATGGATTTCTTTCATTTCCTTAGGATTTGCTTGGTTTTTCCTCGGGAAAACACGATTTTCCTACGGATTCCGTGGTATTTCCTTAAGTTTTCCTTGGTTTTCCTAGGACAAACACTATTTTTCTATTACCTATGGCGTTCGTGTCATTTCTTCAGGTTTTCAGAAGGAAAACATACGTTATCTTTGGTTGTTCCTCGGAAAAATCGGGCCCCCTCATTTGGCGATTCTGGTTCAGCGGGGGGTTGGTGGGGGGGGGGAGGCGCAGCCCCCCCCCATTTGCAGACGCAACGCTCACATGATGGGCTTCGAAAACACTCTTTGAATCAAGCTTGCACGGCTCCAAAAGCGTGGCAGTGGGTCTTTCTTTCTTCCGTGCCTGTTCGTGTCTCTTCTTCCGTCAGCACTCTAACATAATATAGCATAGTAAACCATACGAACGACATAAGATGGTTCGACATCACAAAAATGTGTGACATTTTCTGACATAACAGAACCTTGCTTCTTATAGCATATAACAACACAACAAAAGACGACAATACAATATATGAGAAAATAACATAGAACAAAACAACATCTTAGCTTATAGTGTAGTACATTGTAACATAGTACAATATAGTTTGTACATATACAACATAATATTTGGTATATTATATAACATCAGGTTACATTATGTTATGTTATGGTACATTACGATATTATGGCATATTCGATTGGACTACGTAGTATCCTACTGCTTGTATCTTTGTTTCTGTGATTCTTTCCTGGTCTTTCTCCTTCGTCGTTTCCAACTTTGCTTGTTTATTCTGGTTTTCGTTCTTTCTTTCGCTCGTTCATTTCTTTTATTTCTTTCTGCTGTTTTTCTTTATTCATTTCATACTGCCTTCCTTCCTTTCTTTCTGCTTTCTTTCTTTTTTCATTTATGTCGTTCTTTCTCTCGTTCGTTCTTTCTTTCGTTCTTGCGTTCGTTCTTTCTTTCCTTGTTGCTTTCGTTCTTTCGTTCTGTCTTCCTTTCTTTCTTTTTAGATACAGCAATTCTTGAATTTTTCCAAGCGAAAAACACTGTTTTCCTATGGATTTCTTTCATTTCCTTAGGATTTGCTTGGTTTTTCCTCGGGAAAACACGATTTTCCTACGGATTCCGTGGTATTTCCTTAAGTTTTCCTTGGTTTTCCTAGGACAAACACTATTTTTCTATTACCTATGGCGTTCGTGTCATTTCTTCAGGTTTTCAGAAGGAAAACATACGTTATCTTTGGTTGTTCCTCGGAAAAATCGGGCCCCCTCATTTGGCGATTCTGGTTCAGCGGGGGGTTGGTGGGGGGGGGGAGGCGCAGCCCCCCCCCATTTGCAGACGCAACGCTCACATGATGGGCTTCGAAAACACTCTTTGAATCAAGCTTGCACGGCTCCAAAAGCGTGGCAGTGGGTCTTTCTTTCTTCCGTGCCTGTTCGTGTCTCTTCTTCCGTCAGCACTCTAACATAATATAGCATAGTAAACCATACGAACGACATAAGATGGTTCGACATCACAAAAATGTGTGACATTTTCTGACATAACAGAACCTTGCTTCTTATAGCATATAACAACACAACAAAAGACGACAATACAATATATGAGAAAATAACATAGAACAAAACAACATCTTAGCTTATAGTGTAGTACATTGTAACATAGTACAATATAGTTTGTACATATACAACATAATATTTGGTATATTATATAACATCAGGTTACATTATGTTATGTTATGGTACATTACGATATTATGGCATATTCGATTGGACTATGTAGTATCCTACTGCTTGTATCTTTGTTTCTGTGATTCTTTCCTGGTCTTTCTCCTTCGTAGTTTCCAACTTTGCTTGTTTATTCTGGTTTTCGTTCTTTCTTTCGCTCGTTCATTTCTTTTATTTCTTTCTGCTGTTTTTTCTTTATTCATTTCATACTGCCTTCCTTCCTTTCTTTCTGCTTTCTTTCTTTTTTCATTTATGTCGTTCTTTCTCTCGTTCGTTCTTTCTTTCGTTCTTGCGTTCGTTCTTTCTTTCCTTGTTGCTTTCGTTCTTTCGTTCTGTCTTCCTTTCTTTCTTTTTAGATACAGCAATTCTTGAATTTTTCCAAGCGAAAAACACTGTTTTCCTATGGATTTCTTTCATTTCCTTAGGATTTGCTTGGTTTTTCCTCGGGAAAACACGATTTTCCTACGGATTCCGTGGTATTTCCTTAAGTTTTCCTTGGTTTTTCCTAGGACAAACACTATTTTTCCATTACCTATGGCGTTCGTGTCATTTCTTCAGGTTTTCAGAAGGAAAACATACGTTATCTTTGGTTGTTCCTCGGAAAAATCGGGCCCCCTCATTTGGCGATTCTGGTTCAGCGGGGGGTTGGTGGGGGGGGGGAGGCGCAGCCCCCCCCCATTTGCAGACGCAACGCTCACATGATGGGCTTCGAAAACACTCTTTGAATCAAGCTTGCACGGCTCCAAAAGCGTGGCAGTGGGTCTTTCTTTCTTCCGTGCCTGTTCGTGTCTCTTCTTCCGTCAGCACTCTAACATAATATAGCATAGTAAACCATACGAACGACATAAGATGGTTCGACATCACAAAAATGTGTGACATTTTCTGACATAACAGAACCTTGCTTCTTATAGCATATAACAACACAACAAAAGACGACAATACAATATATGAGAAAATAACATAGAACAAAACAACATCTTAGCTTATAGTGTAGTACATTGTAACATAGTACAATATAGTTTGTACATATACAACATAATATTTGGTATATTATATAACATCAGGTTACATTATGTTATGTTATGGCACATTACGATATTATGGCATATTCGATTGGACTATGTAGTATCCTACTGCTTGTATCTTTGTTTCTGTGATTCTTTCCTGGTCTTTCTCCTTCGTAGTTTCCAACTTTGCTTGTTTATTCTGGTTTTCGTTCTTTCTTTCGCTCGTTCATTTCTTTTATTTCTTTCTGCTGTTTTTTCTTTATTCATTTCATACTGCCTTCCTTCCTTTCTTTCTGCTTTCTTTCTTTTTTCATTTATGTCGTTCTTTCTCTCGTTCGTTCTTTCTTTCGTTCTTGCGTTCGTTCTTTCTTTCCTTGTTGCTTTCGTTCTGTTCCTTCTTTCTTTTTAGATACAGCAATTCTTGAATTTTTCCAAGCGAAAAACACTGTTTTCCTGTGGATTTCTTTCATTTCCTTAGGATTTGCTTGGTTTTTCCTCGGGAAAACACGATTTTCCTACGGATTCCGTGGTATTTCCTTAAGTTTTCCTTGGTTTTTCCTAGGACAAACACTATTTTTCTATTACCTATGGCGTTCGTGTCATTTCTTCAGGTTTTCAGAAGGAAAACATACGTTATCTTTGGTTGTTCCTCGGAAAAATCGGGCCCCCTCATTTGGCGATTCTGGTTCAGCGGCGGGGTTGGTGGGGGGGGGGGGGGGCGCAGCCCCCCCCCCCATTTGCAGACGCAACGCTCACATGATGGGCTTCGAAAACACTCTTTGAATCAAGCTTGCACGGCTCGAAGAGCGTGGCAGTGGGTCTTTCGTTCTTCCGTGCCTGTTCGTGTCTCTTCTTCCGTTAGCACTCTAACATAATATAGCATAGTAAACCATAAGAACGACATAAGATGGTTCGACATCACAAAAATAGTGTGACATTTTCTGACATAGCAGAACCTTGCTTCTTATAGCATATAACAACACAATAAAAAAGACGACAATACAATTTTTTGTTCTTTCGTTATCTCTTTATTGTTTGTTTTTTCTTTGTTTCTAACTCTCTTTCGTCCTTCCTTGTGTTTTCTTTTCTCTTTCCGTATAGCTTTCTTTGTTTATCTATTTCTTGATTGTTGTTTCTTTCTTTCCTTATAGCTTTCTTTATGTGTTTCTTTCTTTCTTGCGTTCTTGCTTTCTTTCGTTCTTTCTTAATTTATGTCTTTCGTTCTTTCGTTCTTGATTTCTGTCTTTCCGTCTGTCTGTCTTTCTTTATTTCTTTCTTTCTTTCTTTCTTTCTCTCTGTCTTTCTTTCGCTCTTTTTTTCTTTCTTCCTTTCTTTCTTTCTTTCTTTCTCTCTCTCTGTCTTTTTTTCTCTCTATCTTTCTTTCCTCCGTTACCCCCTCTCCTTTCGTGGATACCTGCTTAATTTTTTATGATCTTTATTTAATTTTTTTGATCCTTATTTAACTTTTTTTAACCCCTATCCCCATCTGGCCGGACTGGCGGAGCCAGCTCATGCACTCTTAGGAATTCGTGCGCGACAGTTTTCGGGAAAGGAGGCTTGGGAATGCGTGTGTCAGCAGTGTAGGCGACAAGCAGGGTCTGGCGCGCTGGGCATGTCGTGTTCGCATTTGGGAGTCAGGTCCTTTGGAGGGCTTGGGATGCAAATGCTTTTCTTCTTCACTTTTCTGCATAGTTTGCTGAACCTGCCTCCCTGATCATCTCTGCAAGCTGCAGAAAAATGCCCTGCAATTAAACACCGCGCGGTGCTGCAAAGCCTTCGTCTCCACAGGCAGTCCCTGTCCCATCATTTTGACAGAAGGGGCTTGGCTGTACTTGTGAAGTCTACCGCACTTGGGACTGCACATGAGCGGGTGAACGCATCTCAACACACCCTGTAAACTCCGAAAGATTGCCCACCACAACGGCATCAGGGCATCTCTCTCTCTCTCTCTCTCTCTCTCTCTCACTGCGCTCTCACTCTGCGTACCGCAGTGCCGGCGTCGAGACCCCCGAGGCCCTCCACGGCCCGCCTCAAGACTCGCAAACCTCTAGAATCTCGGAGCGCACTGGACAAATCTGCCAGGCTTTCTTCGAGTTCTCTGGAGAGGCGAGGTCGGTGCAGGACTTCCTCGGCCTTCTGGGTCCTTCCAGGTATTGAATGCCAGCCTTCAGCACCTGTCCACAGCTAGATGTGACTATTATGACGATTTATGACGATAAAAACACCACGAAACTCTCTCCTCGCCAAACGTTGCGCTGCACGAGGCCGGCAAATCCGCAGGCGAGGGCCGGTTGGCGGCGCTGGCGTCCAGTCGCGGTCGGGGCCGCCCCAGGCACCTTGCGGCGTGCAGGTTGAGGCTATCGGCGGCACGGAAGCTGTGGCGGAGAGCGGCCGCTCCTGTCCAAGGATAGGTCTCGGGTTTGTGGAGCTCCGGCTTCTTCGAGGCCGGTGCCAGCGTCAACCTGATCTCTCATCATCTCGCTCGTGTCTTACAGCAAGGAACTTGAGGTACCCATTGAAACAACCTCTGCCTGCTCGAGGCATCTCCGAGCGAGCTGAGCGTCTGCATCGAATCATTGACGGAGGCACGGCCGAATCAGCGAGCTATGAGGAAAGCCCTATAAAGCCCTGCTTAGACGAAGAGTCTCGCCTCGCCTAGCTCCTAGGTGCTTGCCCCACATTGCCTTGAGCAATCGTTGCGGCTGCGGCTTCTTGATTTGTTGCTGGGATGCAGGTAAACGACTGCGGCATTGTAGAGAGTAGAGACACTTACGTGAGAGCTGTCCGGGGTGATCTTGGCCACGCCGACGCCAGGACCTCTGGAACAAACGGCACGAAACGAACCAGTGCCTGCTTGCCTAGGGTAGTCAGACCGATCTTGGTGCCAAGCGATTCGGGAAGTTGGCTGGAACCAGACCAAGTGGTTTGGGAATCGTCACCTGTCGCACTGGTAGCCAAAGGCCGCCCAAGCTGCCTCAAGTAAAAACTCTCGAGTTTAGTTCAATGTGCGTGCCAGGCTGCATCGAAGACGGCACGCTCGCCCTCAATCATCTTCACACGCTTCACCCAATCCTGCCGCAAGTCTGAAACCCAAACTCCTTTCGTGGAGGCTCCGGGCCCCAGGGCTCAGGAGGACCTCGGGGTCAAAGTCCATATACTCTTGTACTTCGGCATGTCGCGCGACTCCTCGGGCCTTGGCCATGAGCTCCCGAGAACAACACGGACCCCTAACGGCCGGAAAGAGCAACACCCACAGCAGAGCCGTACTTTTCGAGCCGCGGTGCTGCCCCTTTCTGCGGCGCTCGCCTCAACAGACAATGTAACACAGGCAACGTGCCTCATTCAGTACTGCAATTCCCGCCCCCTCCAATGACTTCAGACGCAAATCCTTGATTCAAGAGTGAGTGCCGGTGGAAATGCCGGGCGTGTTTGTTGCGCTGTTGACCCATGCTCTCGACCCGAAGCCGACATCCAAATTGAATCTCAATGCGATGGTGCCTGTTGGCTACAATGCCTGCTGCTAAAGCCGTGGCGGCAGCTGCAAGTGCCGACGAACCTTCAGTGATGAACGGCTGCATCGAACTACTTTAGTCCTCCATAGCCTTGACGCCTGCAGCATTCCAACTCCACTTTCATGTTGTGCGGCCTCTGTCCGGAAGCTGACGCGTGACGCGGTCTGGTCTCGAGGGGAGCCTGCATCAAGCAGTACCGATGCCAAAAGGAATCTGTTCTGTGCCCGGCACTGCAGCGCAAACAACTATGTCTCTAAGTGTTTTCTTCAGCTAGGCCCACTAGACTTGTCCTTGTCCGGCGATTTGAAGAACTGACTCTAATTCCAGAGGGGAAAGGAGCCGTGTGTGAATAAGCTTGTCGTGTTTTGAGACCCGCTCGCCGCTCGCCTTTCCATGGGACCTGCAGATGGCGCCATCCCAAAGGCGAAGGCCTCACGCCAACCAGGCTCGGCAAGGCGTGCAAACCAATTCAAAGGAGAGCATGGGCGGTGACAAGGCCTTGAAACAAGTTGGCTCTCTCTCTCTCTCTCTCTTTCTCTCTTCTTCTGCAGGGCATGAAGGGCTTCGAAACCCCCCGGGCACATGGCCCCTCCATATGTTATGGGGCATTGAGGGAGTGTAAAACGATAACTGTTCCCCCTGAAAGAGCAGTGAAGTGCAATGGCCTATGAAAGGCTAAGGGTTCACAGTTATTTCACGACACACCACGAAGCTTGCATGGGCCATCACAGGGGTTGCACAGTCAACCGGAACAGGTAATGAAGTACTCCTATTTCTCCCCGGTCTGGCCATCGACAGCTTTGGCAAGACTCTCTTGTCGGCATGATGCATGATGACCCATTGTGAGGATCAACTGAACTAGAGCAAGAATGATATGTTTTTTTTTTCTCTCTCTCTCTCTCTCTGTCTCTCTCTCTCTCTCTTGCTCAAATCTCTCTCTCTCTCTCTCTGTCTCTCTCTCTCTCTCTCTCTCTCTCTCTCTCTCTTCTTCAGCACAGGCAGAGGGAAGCGCGATCCGAGGTCCGCGCCCCCCTCGCGCGTTACCGCGCACTGGGGGGGTGTACAGGACGGACAGAACTACCGAGACAGCTTGTGGTTCAACGCACCGGTTCTCCCCCCGCTCTCTCTCTCTCTCTCTCTCTCTCTCTCTCTCTCTCTCTCTCTCTCTCTCGCTCTGAATGTGGTAATTATGAAATCACATGCCCTGCACCAGCCTTGCCAAGCAGCGCCATTGCTACTGCGAAGGACCCACCGAGAGAGAATCGTGCTCTGGCAAGGCGGGGGAGCTACTGTAGAGAATGTGGTGCCAGCTACTTCTGGTTTGTTGTCGTCATGCGGCGGCAGCATGCAAGCAAGACCCGATCAAAAGGGATCAGCTGCCAGTCAGCATTCGGAATTGAACTCAAGGTCTGATTTTGCTCGATAAGCAGAAGCGATGTTGTAACTCCATTCCCTTCTCCGTTTATGCTCACTCAGGGAATACACGGCGATGAAGCGAACAGCCTTGCAGGTTGGGCGTCTTCTCTCCACGCCCACACGATTATGCACGTATGTAGGCAGGCGTGGATGTAGAATGTACACAAATGAACAAACAAATTATGTATGTGTGCGTTTCTATACATTATATATCTTTCACATTTACGCAACCCACCCCACCGTGACCTACTTCAATAAAAAGCTCGAAAGGTTTCAACGAATGAAACAAATCATTGAATAATTGAAACCGAACGTGATTTCGGATACGGCTTTTCGCAGGTAGATTTTGCAATGTGATTTCAACCTGATTTAAATATATGGCTTCTTGGAGGGGTAGGACTTCGGAAGTGAAAGAATGAAGATTGAGAGTCAATTGAGGCGGGGACAAATATATTAGTATTATATGCATATGCATATACACATAAATACGTATATGTATACATATATACATATATATATATATATGTGTATATGTGTATATATATATACACATTATGTGCATGTGTGTGTGTGTGTATAGATGCAGGTACTGCAATTTCCGGGCATGTCGGCAATGTCTCTGTGATCGCATTGACGCCATGGTCATCCCGCGCACTCGTATTGGACGATAACTTGATGAGTGATGCTTCCTGCGTTTCCTGTAATTCTCAATAAACGTGCGTCCTCTCTGGTGCCAATGAATGCAGCCGATGATCTCAAGCGCCGCCGCAGCACCCTTCGCCTCCTTTCAGCTGACCTCACTAGCGCAGCCAATCCGCCCGGCCACCGGTTTGAAATTCACGAATGTCAAGCTTGGAAACAGGCACGCAAGTGCAGAGCGTGCTGTCTGCTCTGACTGTTCTGCATGCCCGTGTTTGCAGCCGCGCTTTGCAAATCGCATCGGGAAGAAATCGCGCGGTTCAATCGCCTTGAGTTAAAAACACTGGCTAACAATCACTGGCTAACAATCAGCTACATTTCTGTGGCATTCGGATATGAACGAACAATTGCTTGTTTTCAGGTAGATCTGAAGTCTATAGTAAGACAGTTGATCAAGTTTTGTATCAACGTGACACGTTAAATCAACACAACTTTGGATTAATTTGTGTAGGTTGTATGTGCTCAGCATGTGTCAGCCCAAGAATAGTTCAGTGGAACGACAAGCCTTTACAAAAAGAAGCACACATCAGTCAAACACCAAAGGGAAAAGCTACACAAGCAAAGCATACATGCTCAACACACAGCGCCTAGCGCTGACAAGTATGATTTTTTGAAAGGTCTTGGCTCTGAGTCGTGTATGAAGCTTACAGTAGGTGGTGATTAGATTCGGTAGATTCGGTTACTGAATCCCCATTACATAGCAGTTGCTTTGGCATTCACTTGTGTGCGAATATACTCATACCAGCGAGTGAGATTTCAAACAAATTAACATGAGCGGATAAGCTGTCTGTGAACATCAAATAGTAAACACTGACCGATTGACTTTTCCTCTGTGATGAACTAGCAATTAACTGGACATGTTTGTATATATGGTTCAATACTGAACGAGTAGGTACCGAACGGATCTTAGAGCCGTAGAACATGCATTACTGTATCAGCTTTTAACCTATGATACTGCCCAAATCGGCTGCATGGCCTGAAAAATGCTAGCAGCTGCGTGAATGTAAGTCAATAGTGGATTTCGAACTAACCATACACTGGTTAAAGCAGCTCGAACACGACATAAGCACCATCCTCATGCGCCTGTTCATGCTCAAGGAACGTGAATTTCCCAAAAAGTCAAACTTCACAGAAACGCAAATCTCAACTCACAGAAACACAAATGTCAACACAAGTAATTTACAGGGCATCTGACAGAGATCCCTGAGTACGTGCGAGAATAAGAGAAGACAGTTTGGAACATAATTTAAGAATGCAAAGAAGTCCAAGATTCTATGGCAAGCAAAGAGTGCAAAACCTTAGGACGCAAAATAACTTTTAGTCCAAACCTCAGAACCAAGTCTTGGAATTTCGGAAGTCGAAAAAGTCTCCTTGTTTAACATCTGCGGAATGTTTGGCAGTTATCAGTTGTGGAACATTTCACCGCATCGAGTATGTCTTGGAAAAAGACTCTGCTTCGTACATGCATTTGGGAAGTACACATTTTTCATTTGCATGTCAAGCTTTAAATCCTTGTAAATTCCAAACAATTGTGAAAGGTTGGTCCTGTGGGGGGGGGTTCGAATCTGCTCATCAGAACGTTAACTAAGCTGGAAGCCGGGCGGGGAGTAGGCGGCGGGTCATTTTTGCTTCGCGAGGCGTCTGCCAGCTTCCTACTGCTATAGCGCTTCCTCCTGCCAGCCTCTCAAGAGCCTTCAGCAGGTCGCACTGAATAAACAGATTCCTACGTTCAAACGCAGAGGTCCAAGCATGGTAAGGGTCGTCACCTTCCTGCCACCAGAACTTGCATTTGAAGCTACTCGTAATGTCAGCATATTGCTGATCTGAGAGGGTACGGCAGTAGCTGGTGATCAGCTACCAGGCATTGTCACAAGCCCGCACTTGAGCTCGTGTGCACTATGCCTCTCGAGGAAGCTTCGCTGCTTCAAGGCAATAGATTCTACGCAGCCGGAGGGTTCCATGAGGAAGACTCCTTCAGCTTCACGATAACGACGGTCATGTTGTCCGTGCCAAGGCCCTGGGTCTTGCTCGGGTCCTGACGCGAAGCCATGACGCACCAGACAATTGCCGTGTTCTACTCATCTACGCAGTGATACTGATCCTACTGCCTGACACCAGTCAGCGTGTCCTCGGAACAGCAATGCTCCAACAGCTCCTCTGTTTTTTTTTGATTTCGTAGTGGCAAACGTCATGAGCCGATGGACTCCGACTAACAGCTCCTCTGCGATGGCCTTCAGCTCCAAGCCTTTCTCCTCAGCGGCCCGGCAGCGCGCAACCAGAGAAACTGAACCCTGATGAACCTTCTTGCAGAAATTGAGCTTGACCAAGAGGTCTTTGGTTCTTTGGTTTGACTAGGCCTGTGCGGCACAAGTCTCGAGCCGTGGCCTCACAAAGTCGCAAATGTCCTGGAAGTTTGTCAGGTCTCGCCATTCGTTTACTGCTGCATTTTTTGACTGGATGACTCACGCGATGCTGCAACTCCGGGCACTTAAGCCGATCCCAAACAGATGCTTATCCGGTGGTGTGCCCGCCGGCCTGGTTGGACATGACATCCCAAATGCCGTCACCTCAGTATTTCGCTTTAACGCAAGACAACGACGGTCAGGACATGTGCGGCTTTGTCAGGATTTCACAACTCTGGGCTGCAGTTCAGTCGCATGCCAGAACGATGAACTCGTCTTCCACTGTCAAGTCGCGAACCACCACATCTGGCGTGGAGCATATCACTTGCTCCTGAGACCACGCTGCAGGTCTCATCAGTTTCTCTTGTTACTCATTGAGAGTGCTGGTAGAGACAAGCCAGCTCTAGCTGTTGTTGCCGACTAAAACTGAAGGGTGCGCGTCCTGCGGGGGCAGGTCGGTTCGCCTTTGCACGATGTGATAGAGAGAAAGGCGCAGAGTCGGAACCGAAGACATGACAAAACGCAATGTGCCAGGACACTTCTTGTACTCCAAATCGCCAATGGCACGGCTGAGATTCAAATTTCCGTTCACGCGGGGAACACCTTGACTGTCCTGGATGGGCTTCCACGGGCTCCCAGAGCAGCAAAGACAGCGAAACCAAAGCAGAGCATAGCAAAGCGATGCAAAGCGCAGAGCTCAGCTCTCGCCTCCACGGTGCCGCCTGCGGCCTCGATCCTGCTCTTTTCGGTCTCAGATGCAGGCCTTGGGGCTCCAGAGCTGGCAGATCTTGCAGCAATGGGAGAAGACAACAGACACTTGGGGTCGAGAAGCTTGTGGTCGTAAGAAAGCTCCAGTGCTTTCCCTGCCCGGCACATCACTGCGCGGCTGTCCCCGGCATTTGCTGTGATGACATCCTGCCAGGAGACAACCCGCCACAACCCTGGCATGTGGGCCTGACGGAAGCAAGAGGCTCTTGGATTACAGACGCGCTCTGGATCGTTTATTCCAGTCCCACTAGTCACTGGTTTGGCGAAATCTTCCATTGTTTTGTGCTCCCGCCACATTGCTGTCTTCATTTTGGGTGCGCGCGCTCTTCTCTCGCAGTTGGGTGTGTGTGTGTGTGTGTGCATGCAACCCTGTGTCGAAGGGCAGTGTACTGATTCGCGGTACCAATCAGCGACTGCACACAGCCGGAATTGACACAAGTCCTGCTTGCGAACCACGACGCACACGGCCGTGCAGCCCACTGTATCTGGAACAAATTCATCCTCAACGAAAGGCAAGCACTCAAAACGTTCGAGTTTCGCTTGCTGCCATGTCGACTGGAGTTGCGATGCTGCTGAGGCCAGCACACCCTTCTCTGCCTGCTTGAGTTTCTGCAACTTGATGAAAGACTCCTTCATCTCACTGTGCTCCTGATACGGTAGCTGGGCTGTTGACAACCGACAATGGGAAGAGCGGAGGTGCACAAAGGCTTGACACACTAACGCAGCTGAAGATCTCCGTCCAACAGTTTTCCTGTCCTTACTGGCAGGCAGAGACAAGCTGCACTGCATGTCTGCCATGGTCCTCACTGCGAAATGTGAACATCCGACTTCGTCCGACGGCTCCGCTTCAATGCGGGAGTCTGTGAGCGTTGGTGCATGTCCGCGATCTTCTTCTCCAATTCCTCTCGAAGTCATGGTTGCCACACGCACACCGGCATGATGACATTTCGTTGCGGGTCTGCTGCATTCCTGGATGGCGCCCGTCGGAACTTTGCCCATAAAGCGTGCCAGCACCTGTAATCGTCTTCGGTCATCCACAAACTTTGCAGATGTGCATGTTCTTGCACCAGTTGCCTTTGCAGCCTCTTGTGCGACAAACCAGAGTGCTTGCCTACAATGACCCCTGCATGCTTCCAGGTGGCTTTGGCATTGGCTGGCTCGCGCAGTTGATCGTCCATTCTGTGAAACGAGGCCTGGTGTTCTGATACCCTCAGCCTTTCTTCCATTGACGTGCATGTTGACTTTGCCTTGAGGATTTCCTCCAAATCTGATGCTTCCAAATGGACGCCGCAATGGCGCTTCTTGTTCTGACATGGCATCGAAGTCACTTGATTGCAGTCGCTGGAAGTTTGCCTGAGAGGAGGCCCGGCGGGGCCTTGTTCTTGCCGAACTTGGACCGCCCCATGCTTGCCGTGGTCTGGATGAGCTCAGGCATGAATTGCTGCCTCAGCTATGACAGCCCCGAAGCACAAGCACGATCAGAAGATCAATAGCACGATGAGAAAGCACAGATGAAGGAAGGGGAGTGCGGGAGTGCCGCCCGGTGCCGCTCCAAGCTGCTTGCAAAACTTTGAGACAGCCTTGCCACCTCGGAGTTGCACACTCGGAGGCGGCTACAGATACTGCCTTTCAAGGTTGACTCCGTCGCTGCTTGCAGTGCTGCACCGCCGGTGCTTCTGTCGTTACTGTTGCAACGTTGCTACTGCTGCCATTGCTGCCGGTGCCGGCGCCACTGCTACAGCCGGTGGTGCTAGCGGGTGGTGGTGTTGGTGGTGGTGGTGGTGGTGGTGACGATGCCGTCGTTATGGTTGCTTTTTTTGTGGCTTTTGCAGTTGCAGTTTGCGTTCCTTTCGCTGTTGCAGTTGCTGTTGCTGTGGTCGTCGTCGTCCTCGTCGTAATATGACAACACAGGGGCTCAGCACCAAGCTGTGGCTGATGTGAGCCGAGTTGCCGTGGCCATCGAAAACACAGTACAGACCGCAGCCTGCAAACCTGAGTGCTATTGCTGTGGCGAAGACCGACTCGAGACGTCAGACGTGAGAAGACTGAAGTCCTGAGCTTGCGACTCTTCTCCGACGTTAGAGCTTGCGATGTGCTCGTCCTCCATATCTGGCCTCCAGCCCTGCATATCTGCTGCTACCCATTCCATCCGCTCATCGCCTGTGCACAGGCTGCGCTTCACACCGAATATGGCTCCGCAGATAAAGATAGCAGGACGACGGTGTGGAGCCCAGGCCTTAAAACCCTAGGCATCCCCAGGCAGAGCCCCACAACCCACCAGGCCCAAACAAGTGCCGTGCAACTTCCAATCACACCGCCGGTCAAGGACTGAATTTCCCAGCCCAGCCCAGAGCCCGTCCAACCTTGTCAACAAAGTAACTTCAAACGGGGCCCCAGTCTACGCCAACGGCCCAGGCCTCCTGTTTCAATCCGCTTCTCTTTCAAAGGCTTGTCCAGCAGGCCGCCCATTGCGCGCGCTATGCAATCCAAACTCCGGAAGTGCGGTGGCACCTTGACATGGCCTCTTGGTGCTGGGTCTGTCTCGGTGCTGCAACACGCGTGCTGCACGCCAACGGCAAATACACAGATGGTCATGGTCAGCCAGATGAAACAGCATCCAAAACTAACATGGACTATGGGTAGCAGTTGAACCGACCAGCAGCTTCAACAGAAGCATCGATATGTTGCACAGGAGGGCTTCACTTCACGCGGAAAGCAGCGCAAGTGGCGACCTCGGGTTTAGTCGCCATGACGCCATGGCTTCGCCAGCACAAAGGCCCATGCCACATGCCGGAACGCCGGGACTGCACAATCCTCTGTCTTGAGCTTGCTTGGCGCCATGCAACAGCTGAAACCTATCGACTTAGTTTTTCTGCCGAAGTAACGAAGATGTAGCCTGCTCGGGCCAGAGTTAGCCAAATACCGGGACTCTCTAGCGGAAGCTACTTTGTCTTCATTGCTGCTGTTTGCGCACGGCACCCAAGAAAATCGGGCAACCTGCGGCCTTTGAGTGCTCCACGATCCACATCTGTGAGCTGCCAACTACCATCGCCGCCCTCGCCCTCGCGGCCCTCGCCCTCGGCCACGTCTCCGTTTCCTGTTGTCTCGTGAATCATCCCCTCGATTGCTCTCCTGGCCGGTGCCAGAAGGACCAGCATAGCGCCAGAAGCTGCCGTTTCGCAGCTCCAGGCGAGGGTCTCCGCTCGAGGGGAGGAAGGACATGCCATATCTGGGAAGCAAAAGGAGGTTTCGTGGACCATGTGCGCCGTCATTCAACTTGACGTTCACACGTCGCGTCACTCTGACCGTTTCGTTTGTGCTCGGGACCACGGCGTCAAACTCACCCATGGTCCGGACAAACAAACTGCCGTAGGCCTGATGAGGCTTCAAAGGCAACTGCCCAGCTTTGTGAAGCCATTTAAGCTTTTCAGAGAAATCACTGCGAACCACCTCTATCGGAGCACCGGCATGATGTGCACCATCTTGGACACAATTGACGCTGCAATCAAAGGCACGCCACAGCATCAAGGCAAGGGCATCCTGTAACGAATCGAACTCTCCTACTCTGCAGTCGAAATGTGCAATAATGTCATCAGGGAGCTGCATCCCACGCTCCTCTGCCATCTGCGCTAACTTGCGATTGAACAAAGCGGTGACGACGCTGGCACCGATGCTCAACCATTTCTGGACCCGGCCTCCGTGAGGCCAGTCCCGTGCCGCTCCAGCTGCTGTTGTGAGACGTGGGGTGAGCAAAATCGTCATCTCGTCGCTGTGGGTGTATGCTAAGTTGCCTTTGAACTCATCCAACATGGCTCGGCAACAAAGCTGCATGATTTCACCAAGCTCATCCGAATAGCCCGGTCCGATCAGACCAGCCTCTCTCATACGCTTGGTCAGAGTACCAAACATGCAGCCATCCAAGCGGATTGTCACCCACTTGTCGCCATGCAGTGACCTGGGTGTCTCGAATGCCGTGACCAAGCCTCCCAACTCTTGCCAAGCAGGTCGAGGTGTCGGCGGTCCAACTTCGTGCAACTCTGAAGGGATCTCCACACTGGCTGGCTCACGGTCGGCTAGAAGATTCCAGAGTTGCTCATACTTCTGTGCCAAGTCGCTTGTACCGCGGGATCTCTCCAGTTCCGGAGGTATGTCCTTGGTCACTTCTGTCGAGTCTCCAGCTCTCCGCTTGACCGTCCCAACTTGCCGCCTCCCAGACCGAATAGTTCCTGTATGAGCAAAAACAAGGGCAGTCGGCCGGGTGCATCGCAGGGACAGAACGGTCAACACCAACAGCTGCAATGCATGGGTCCAAGCCCTGCCATGGCTTGTGCAACGGAGACCTTGCATCTGTGGCTTCTTGCTACTATCTCGTGCTTTCAGGCTTGATACACGTCAAACGAACTCGCTCCTTTGAGATTTGATGCTTCTCTTGGGCATATGTATTTCGAGCAGCTTTAACGGGACCGAGCAAGTGTAGTCAAGTGTAGCATAGTCTCTGCAACTGCGGCTTGTCGGAATTCAACGGGCGCTGTCGAGCAATCCCTTTCCAGACTACAGTTGCGCGGCCGCGGTGGCCACGTACGTCCTGACCGGCACACTTGCCACCCTGCTGAGTCTGAGAGAGTCAAAAGTAACCTGCAGGTTTGGTCCTGACCCAGCGGAAGTCGATGTCATCCCAAGCATCATCCCATACACTCAACGATTCCTCGTCACGGGATGAGCACGTCTGCATCTCTGGCTTCGAAGCGATTGGAAAAGATTTGGACAGTTGCGCGCTCTTCCACAATGAGGTTAGATCCAGCAGTCGGCTGCGAATTGGCAGAATCTGAAGTGTCAATGCTACCACAACCAACTGAACACCAACGACTTGTGGAGAGAGATTTAAGTCCGTAGGACTCCACTGACGTTCCAGCTTGGGTTAGCGATTGGAAGAATTACATAATGGTTTTGGCACATGTTTCTAGGGCCCATTCACCTGCACAAGCCGCATGTGGATCAAGGCCACACCATACTCTTCAAAAAGCATGCCTCGTGTGCAGGAGTTGGGAACGTGGTCAACAGGTGACAAAGATGTATCATGCTCAAGGCTATGGAGCTGTTGGCGAGGGTCAAGGACCCCAGCTCTTGTCTTGCGTTCTATCGATTGAAGTTTAACGAGGTCATGATTCGCTATGGCTGCGGGACAGAAGCAAAATCCCTGTGCGAGCACGAATCTCCAGCCGCAGCGGCACTTCCAGCCCAAGCCGGTGTGCCTCGCTCTCGAGGCGCACGCCGCATGCCTCCTCGAGTGTTTCGAAGAACTGCGCGTCGGTCACCTCCACAGAAAGCTTAAGACAAAAACAAACACAAGAATCTGCCGCGAGATGGCGGAAGCGCTGAGAGACCTCCGCACCGTCACGATGCTGATAAGCAAAGACCTGGCATTAAGCCCATGAAGCTCTGAACAACTGATGTCTGAGCGACATCTTCATGTATCTGGCATGAAGAGCAGTCAGAGAAGAAGCGCATCCGAGGCAGGGACAACTCGGCCTCCAGGTCGCGCCAGCACTCGCTTCAACACGGCTTGCAAAGCCTGCCAGACCTTCAATGCAGGTCAATCTTCACGCTGCGACTGGATGGCGTTCAAAAAGGGATACCTCAGGTTTGCTACCGTACTGCTGTGCAGATGATTAATTACTACTTACTATACAGTTGAGACATCTTGAGCATGGCTTACTTCATCGGTCTTTGCTGTAGCCCCGCTTCCCCGCCTTCCGCGGAACATGTGCGAACTGCCTCCATGCATCATACAAGTAACTACCGCGCCTGCTGAGGCTGCTGGTAAACGACTTCACAGCAAAGAACCAGATCGAAGTGACCTGCGTGGACAAACCCCAAATAGATGGACTCAGATGGACGCAAGCGTCTCTCTCGACGCATCGCCATGCGTGGCTAAGCCGCTAAGCCAAGCAGCGCAAATCATCCCTGGCCTCGCTCTTGGACCAGGGCCTCGGCTTCAGCCTCCCCCCAAAGAAGAGGCCGGACCTCCACATTCCTAGACACTCGCAAACTCTTCGGCTTGCGTGGAGACCTCTGGCACTCAGACACCAGCAATGGCTTCTCCAGCTTGCTTTTCGGTTGGACCCGCCTTACACAGGCAACTGTCCTGCAGCCAGACTGGAGAAAGCCGAGCGCGAGCCTTTCTGGTCGCATCGGGGAGGCAATGCAAGGCCACATTCCTGCGAAATGTCTACAGGCTTGAGCTCTGCACCAGCACTGCGGACTTTCATTGGCCAATGTTACCTACCAAGATGTGACAAACATCCAACTCTTCATCTTGCCTGGACAACAACGGGATGACGCGAGGCACGTCGGTGAAGGTGACCTGCAAAAAAAGCATGGATTGGCATGCCAACATGGACGTGCAAGCTCAAAGTGCACCGAGCGAGTGAGCCAGGCCGCCGGCGGTCTTTGCTCCCATCCCTCGTTGCTGGCAAGAGCAGAAAGCACAGCGACCGCCAAAGCACGGAGGCAGGTTCGTGCAGCATGGGGATGCATGGGGTCATTGAGTCAATGGGCCACCCATGCACACCAGAACTGAAGTGAGCGTTTGAGCATTGGAATTGCAAGGGGGATAAGTTCAGACGGGGCTCGATGCACCAGGAGCCCCACGAGGCCGGTCCCGGCACCCACATCCAGAACTCGCGCACCTGCCCCAAAACAGGTTTACACAGGTTTACACCGTCATCGTTGCGGCAACTCACACCAAGTTGCCTTCCAAGCAGTGCTTCTCGCCTCGAGTCTGAGTCAAAAGGCTTGAGAAAGCTTCTGGGAACGTGCTAGAACGCGGGAGCGGAAATTACTGGACCGATACATTGCAAACTCCTCGAGCTTTTAGCAACATTCAGGGAAAGTAAGCATGCATCGCGTGCAGTTTTCCTGTCAGCAGATACTCTCACAAGAGGTGGCCCTTCTGCTGATCAAGTTGCCGTTGGTGTTTTCTTGCCACGAATAGTTGCTTGACATTGGCGAGTGCTTGCTTGGGCACGCAACCGCCACATTCATGCTCTACAAGCATGGCTCCTGACGGCGATGCCTTGCGGACGTTTGTGGATTCGAGCGCGGCGTCTGGTGGACGTGCAAACGGAAGGTCAGTCGAGAAGTGCAACAGAGGAGTATGAGCATGTAATGATACATAGTACATATATATACACACATATATAAATATGTACATATATATGTATAAACATGTACCGTACGAAATGCATCATTCCTGACACTCAACAGAACATAGACAACAAGTCCTACTTCTGGGCGGCGTGGCAGAGGTATCTGCTGAAGGCCACCGCTGTGGGCCAGACCTGATCTGAACTGCCCAACACGCACCATGGACTAGGGTAGAGCTGAGTGAATGACCAAGTCTCCGGTGTAGTCTGTTGCTAACGGATCTTTCGGCTGCTGCCGCCGTTCTGACACCTTGGCGAGTCGTTCAGGCGCGCTACTGTTTGACACTGCCCGTGACTTGCTACTCAGCTTACGATGTCTGCATCTCTGCAGCTGCAGCGCTGAAACAGCAACACCCTTGTGCGAGAAGTGGAACACATGTGTCTCCTCGCATGCAGCTCTGCTATGTGAGAGCGTATGCCGTGAATGCTCCAAGGTCCTCATTCTCCGAGTGTGCGAGCTCTGGGTTGTTGGTCATCTGGCCAGACATGCCGGTGTTGCCTCGGGCAAGAGGCTCACAACGACCTGCATCCAGTGGCGCAAAACCGAGCTTGGGAAAGCCTCCGCCGCCCCAGAAGTGCCAAAGCTGTGAAGCATCATCAGGCGGAGGTTCGACCTCGGGTTTGTCGTGCTTTGCTGCACAGAGACGAAATGGATACGCTATGAGCACATATCCCCACATGTCGTGCAAGCTACATGCTGTGCAAGTTAAACAACTGCAAGCCTGGAAATTATGCAAGGAAATCATCCACGGTTTCGCTGAGGCGAAGTTGATACTAGTGCCACTTGAATGCACTATGCACTCCTCTGTTGCACGTTAGTATTAATCTTGGTCAGCATAGACACCAAGAGATGTTACAAAAACTGAAGAACACCACGACGGACAACCCTTTTTCACAAACAGGTCCGGCAAAAGGACAACCGAAAGCAAACAGCAGCGGGCAACCAGCAAAAGGTGAACACGCAAGGGGAGCAGCAACAAACAAAGCAAGCTGTGACATGCAGCAAGCAGAAGCAAGTCGCACAACGAGAGAGCAACAAACGTCGCAAGAAGGCAACATAAAGCAACACGGCGAAATTCCCAAACTTATTGCAGAGAGTCGAGTCTGCGACTCTACGAGCTCGGGAAGCCCAGGCCTCGTTGGCCAGATCCAGGCCTGCTGCATTCAAGAGCTCCTCGAAGGTGCCTGTCCCGTCTCTCGGTCTCTCGGTCTCTCTTCCAGTTTTCGTTGTTGAGACGAGAGCTTGCCACTTAACACTTGCTTCTCGGGTCAGTTTCTGGATGCGAGCATCGGCACTGCTGCGGTTCATGCATGAACTGTCTGTGTCATGCCAGCAAGCGGAAATGAAACCCCCGACTTTGCAGGGTGGAAAATGACAGTCTTCAGCTGCCACGCATGCAGGCTGCAGACAGAAAGTCTGACCTTGCACTGCAATCAATCTTGAGGCTTTTGCATGAAACTAACCTGTCAATCCGCCGAGGCACTCAAACAGTGTGTTCTGCTGGCTCTCCTGCTATGTTACATGACGAGGAGGGTTCGCTGCAAGTACAAATCGCGCGCATCTCCGTCAAAAACCATGGAACCTCAACATATCACGGCAAGTCCTGCAAACCATCGGACCACCGAAGAGAACCTCCGCAGACAAACACGTGCTCCGCCCGTGCAAATGCAGATGCATTATGGCGATGCGAAGACGAAGAAGAAGCAGTTGTTGTCAAGGGACGGCCCGGTTTCTGGCACCGTTTCGCTGCTTCTCCGCTGGGCCTCACAGTTCTGATGAGGGCACTGGCATCAAAAGGGTCTGCGGCGACTCGGAAGCACGGCACGCGCCACACTGGACACCCTGCAAACTGGGTACAGGACGTGGTATCTACTTCGCCAAACATCTTCCGCTTCTTGCCACTGCAAATCCTCACAAAAGACCGGACCGCTTCGAGTCAGAGTGCAAGGTGCATCTTGACCCTCAAGATCCCTCAAAGACATGCCTCATAGGCTGCAGCATATCCGCTTGGTCCAACTGGCTCATCCTTTCTAGGGACAGCCGGGACAACAGTCGAGCACTTTCGTGACGGTGCAGCTCCTTTTCTGCTCGCAGTGCGTGATTCTGGAGTCTGATTGGGACCTACATCCAGGCACCTTTGGCCGTGACAGGGTGATACGGTGACACCTGAAAGCACTGCGATGGGTACAATGCTGGGGTTCAATACTCCTTCATTGTCATGGCAATGGCTCAGACTCGATCACATCTGGGTTGTCGGGCTGTGGCTCCTCCTTTCTGAGACAGGCTTGTTTGGAATGTGCAGAAGCCCTGCCAGTGCAACTCGCAACGCTTCCCAAACCTGGACCCCAACTTCTCGAGCATCGTGGACAGAAGGTTGCGCACATGCTGCTAGAGATGCAACTGTAGTCGCTGCACCATGCGACACTCTGTACACCACTTGTTCTGGACGGCATGTCTTGGCTTAATCACATCAGGAACAAACTGCAGTATCAGAGGCCTCAGATTCCAGCGGCGTAGATAAAGCTGTTCTAGTTTTGAGGCCGGTTTTAGATGTTTTCCTCGAAGAGGCCTGTGCTTGCGGGCCGCTTCAGTTGTGCATTATAACTTGTCTAAGAAGACGTTCGGAGATGATGCTCATGGCACGGAGATTGAATGAAGGATCGTTTCCTGCGGTCCACTAGTCTGTGCACATGACTGCATAGGAGATTAGAAGAAAGAGGGCCCGAAGAGCAGGAAGCCTCCAGTGCCGCCGCCAAGCGTGCCACTCGGTTCGGCCAGCTTCTGAGGAGCTGCTCTGCCTTGCCACCTCCGCTCAAAGAGCAAGACATTAGGCAAGTGGCAAGCGTGAGTTGGTTGATACATGGCACCGGCGCCCGCGTCGTCTCAGCTGCTTTCCTAGTTTTGGGCAACCCTGGCGCGGAGCCTGCATAGTCCAAGGCCTTCTTCCCTTCTCGGTCTTGAAGCTCCTGGCACTGGGGGACAGGTGACCATGCAGAAAGCTGAGCGAGGAGATGTCTCATTGTTACTCCCACACTGCGGTCCAAGGCACAAGGTCAGATTGAGCTGCCAGCAAGAAGTCAAGCACCTAGCAGCTCTACTGCTCGCGCTCCGTCATACGCCATTTCATCGTTGAGGCACTGAGCAACCTGCCGATGGCAAGTGAGATACGCCATTCACGTACTCCACCTTGGAGATCCGAGGAATGTGGCAACTCGTTGACTAAGTGTGATTCCTGGCGCTTGTGGCTTTCAATCAAGGGCCAAGCCATTGGAGCGAAGTTGTGTCGTGCTCGCAAAGTTGCATTCTTCTGCGTCGCCAAGATAAGGGCAGTCTGCCCATCTGCAGGGCGCGCTGGGAATAGGCAAAGAAGTCAACGCAACGGCACCCCCAGCTTGCGCAAGGCCCCGACCCCGATTTTGCAGGTTCACGTCGGCACCATGATCCAGCAACACCTTGCTCCAGAAGATCACTGTACACCATCATCATCGCACATGTCCGCAAGCGCAGATTTTACGCGTGAAGAAATGTATAGAAATGTGCTCCATGGTGTTGGCAAGGAACCTGCACGGCATCCACATGGTCATCGGCTGCAGCATACATAAGGGCCGTCATGCCACCTGCTCCCTGCGCTTCCAATTTTTTGAATTCAACGGGATTGAGTGAGCTTCACATTACATCATGGCCGGACATTGCCGGACGCTTTAGGACCCATTGGCCGCCGCCTTGGCATTGATGTCAGCGTGCCCTTCCAGCAGCACGCGTAAAGTCTGAGCTGCCCCATTCCTGTAACGGGAGATGATCACGACGCTGCTGATGGGCCCTAATGGCGTCCGGCAATGCTTTCCAAGGATCTTGGCTGCCAACAGCAGCGCATTCATTCCGTGCCTCTTACAATCAAAGGAGAGCTCATGGTGTTCGGGTTTGTCTATCTTACAGTAGCACAGAGAAACCGTAGCCTGGATGGCTTGTTTTAGCGTATAATATCAAGTCAAGATTGAGTCAGGATGCCTTGACTTTTCGTCAGGGCTGGCCTGACCGGGTCAGACATGAAGGCTACTAAGCCACTATGGCTGGGATGGAGTTCTGCGAAGGGGAGCTCCAGACGCCTGGTGCGTCAGCAACAGCCGGACTATCTCTTTTGCGTTGCTGTCGGCTGCAAACATCAGTGCCGAAACGCCATGGTTGCCTCAGACAAGTGGTTGTCTTGGAACATGTACGTCTTTGTAACACCAAAAACTGAGTCCGAAGCTCTTCAAATCCACAGCAGCTCTTCTTTCGAGCAAAAGTCGTACCTCTGGCAACATTAATGTCGAAGCTTCGAGGAGGCTTGGCACAACAGTACTGAATGTGTCTATCTGAGTCTATCTTTCAGTTCAAGCTTCCAGTTTCAGATTGTCCCACTGCGCGGTCCACATGAGGCACGACTGACCAGACCTCGTGGGCGCAATCAGACTGCAATCAGACAAATCTCAGCGACCTACTTCTTCCACATCACGGCGCATCGCAACCAAACATCGCACCTGTCTTGCTTGTTCACGTCCTCAGCATGAAACTCTCCAAAAACAGTGCCATACATTGCCTTGCTGTTGAAAGCTGAAAGTCATGACCGTGGCTTCGGCCGAGGATCGGAGCCGACTTTCAGGAGTCTTTCGACTTCGGCCCAATCCCGAGTGCTCGCTGCCAAAACGAGCGCCATGGCGGCCTCTGGTCCCTTCGATGTGCGTGTGACGATTGCTCAGCTGGTCTGGTTCGTGCGTCGGAAAGTTGCCAAACACCAGACATTCAACCCCCTGCAGCAGCTCATCTTGGCAAAGCTCAGAAAGCTGTAAGTCATGTCCCTTCAAGTCATACTGAGTCATACTGGTACGGTAAGAGCCAAAGCTCTACAGAATGTGCGGTTGATCACGCACGTCATGTGCCTGCACCGATCACATCAAAATCTTTTCGAACAAGTTTAAAGACCCAAGACATCGCGTTGAGGCCCGGGCAGTCCGGGCCTTGCAAAAGCACAGATACAAACTGACCTGTAGAATTGTCTAGTCCAGACCGTATGGATCACACCCTTGGCAGCCCAGAACTGCAGCTTCCCAACACTGCTCGCATCCAAGTGCCGACAAGGAGCAAAGCAGATTCCATCTGTTAGCGGCCTCCACAGCACACAGAGCAAGCAAAGCGACAGCAAACTTCACTTCACTCGTTCAGCTCGCCGCCTCAGCGGTGGTATGGGAATGATCCAGTCAATTCCTCAAGACCGATCTCGAAATGACAAGCAGTGCCCAAATCTACAAATGCGACTGAACCACCGGTCAATGAAGCTATGACGAGCTCACCCACTCACTGATATGCACTGTTATGTGAAGTGCCACATGCTGTCGAGCTTTTTATGCACGCTGGCTGGCTTCCCTGACATGACACTGCAATCCGTCGTCTACGGAGAAAGAAGAGCTTGATTGCTGTCCCTCTTGCTGGGCGAGGGTGTCTCTTACTTCTGTGAGGACTTTTCCAAACAAGTTTTTGCCACTTCCATCGCCGCCGTCGCCCCACTCTGCATCAGCGCAGTGCTCGACAAATACGGCCTGACAGGGGACGTCGTGCAACAATCGGCGCCGAAGCTCTTCATGCTGGGAGAACTTTGCCAGCACAGCCGTCCTGAAGATCTCTGACTCTGCATCTCTGTGGTCTACCAGGAAACATATCAAGACCAAATCGCGGTTCAGTCCGACATTTTTTATCTAGACATGTAATCCTATAGCGACTGCCGGTAATTACCCCTTTGTTGGTTCAGATTGACCTACAAGAAAACACGAAACCAACATGACCTGACCTCCGGCCTCATGACCGAATATTTCACCTCCTCCCAGTCTGGTCTCAGCCGCCCAGAGCGGCCCAAGCGCTTTGCTTCGACATTACTTTCGACAGAATCAGTAGGCAGAGCTCGAATGCGTTCCATCAACTCCGGGCAGGTGCTCAAGAATTTCTGTGCCTGGAAATAATGCTCGGTGCTGGGCCAGCTGTGGCCATCAATCTGAATAGGGTAGCCAGCGCAGCAAAGGTTGTCCAGCCACTGCAGCCCAGGAGTCTGGCCCGAGAAATGGATGATCCGGGTCGATGCAGGCTGTGGCGTCGTCGCCATATGTGCAGATGCTAGGCTCAAAACCTCCCAATGCAACACTCTGGGATGAGCCTCATAGCCACGGAATGATTTCCAGATCTTGTAGTCCAGATGTCCTTCGAGAATCCTTGTCGTGTGTGACTTGTGGTCGCTTGGTGTTGTCCAAGTGCTTTTGACAACCCTGGTTTCGATTCTATACCTATTTGTCTGGCTCGACAGCACTCATGAGCAAATTCTGCTCATCGACAGCTTTCCCATGCTATCGATGCTTTTGACATCCGGTGTCAGGCACGGAGCGTTGTTTCGGGTCGCCCCCATGCCAACCGCAAGTCTAACTCATTATGATTATCTAACAATTTCGGTCATGTGATTGCCATTTCCGGCTGTCATTACGGGGGATTCGTCTGAGCACAGCCTGCCGGTTTTCTACTCAAACTCGATGACCTCCTGCTGCACGACTGACTATCTCCACTGGGCACAGCCATCTGGAAGAGTACCAATGAGACGTTAAAAGCAGCTTTGAGGGCGGCACCAGGACTCCCGAAAATCTGCGCCATGTTGGCCAGTCGGCTGCCCTGGTCGAAGGGGTTAGGCCTGCGCTTGAAAGCCCAAGCTTGAAGGAATTGACGAGATGGTGCCACATTGCTGTCCGCCAAGCGCCCTGCATGTTGTCGTAGTTGGATTCAATCATTGTCACGTTGTCCAGAAGATTTGGTAACTGAGGCGGTGAGCTCACAGCTTACGAGTTCCGAGTGCGAGCACGCAGCTCTGTGATCCATCAGCCGAGACCTTCCTTCTGTAGATTACCATGTTGTGGCCAACATGATTCAAAGGCTTGCTGAGGCATGAAAAACTCAGGCGCAAGCATGGGAGCAATTGAGGGGCACAAGCAGGGCGTTGGCCGCAATGACCACACAACCCAAAAGGAGGAACTGGAAAACATAGGCATCATCTGGACCTCAGGTGCTTGAACAAATAGTTCAAGCTTTGGGCCGGTCAAACCCTACGGACTCTTGGAACTCTGTCTGAACGTCCACTGTGCCGGTGAGCGGCCCGTGGCCTGCAGTGTCTCAATACCCCAGATGCGCTTTCACTGTTTGGGGTCCACACTGGCATAATGCAACGCTTGCAAACTTTGGTAACATCCCATGAAAAAGACGGTGCCTCTGCATATCGGTATGATGTCCAGTGACTATCATCGTCTGCCCTGCACGAAGACAACAGACAATATCGATCGATCCAACTCCAATGCATGCATGCATGCATGAGCTTGCAGGGAGCATGACAGAAGCAAAGCTGAGCTGCAGACCAGAATTGCCACTTGTCTTTGAAGTAGATCTTCAAAGGCAATCCTGCAAGGCTCGACATTGGCGAGGACTTGCAGCTTGACCGCGCATCCAACTTGGGGCCTGAGTCTTCACCTATGTAGCAGAAACCTTTGCAGGTCTTCCTGAGGCAAAGCATGTCGAGTCGAGGGCTGCGACGATGAAACTGCTCCTTCGAGCTCGGTAGACCAGCAGACTGCGCGACCCTGGGATTCATGCATCTCTGCACATTTCTCTTTGGCTTCATGTATAGTCATCATAGCTTCCTCGGTTGGCAATGGGAAATAAGCATCTTCTGCGAACGATTGACAGCTCGCTGTCCGAAAACACCGAGTCAAGTTTCGAGGACATTGTTTCCAGATTGAAGGTAGCCTCTTGTTCGCAATCGAGTACACAGTTGAGCAGCTCGGGTCAAGCAAGGAGGTAATCATGCCCCTTACTTTACATGGACATCTCTAGGCAAGGTGCCAGCGTGCTTGGTAAAGGCAGGCCCATACATGACGTCACTGTCCATGCGCAGGACCTAAACACAAAGAAGGCAAGGATTGCATTCTAGACAGCTCTTCGCACCATGCTCAAAATGCCCAACAGCCATGCTCTGCTAAGCACGATCCGAGCCCCAAGCAGACGAAAGGCAAGTAAGCAGATCGGGCAAAATGGTGCTGAGTGCAATGAAGCTAGCCTCAGACTGCACTCGGCAACTTTTTCCGAGATCTGCCATGAGAACAGCAGCTCGCATCCCCTAGAAGCCAAGATAAACCGAAACCAAGCAGCCAGTCCAGCATAGATACCTTAGCCCCCCCTTTCTGCACACTCGCACTTCCCTCCAACCTGTCACCAGTGCTAGCAGTTCTACCCCGTGCTTCTCACACCTGGACGATAAAGAATCTTGGCAAAGCTGCCTAAAAGAGTGAAATACTTGTGGTTGTACATGCCAACGCCTTAGCCGGCGAGAAGACATTCACCGCAGCACACATGCTAGCACGTCCTGTCGACACGGTGTTGCTTCTGTTTCGTGTCAAGCAGCAGTTGTTTATCCATGGGCAGTGGTGGTCCATTCGCCTTGGGAGGTCAGCCAATGTCCAAGCAGTCTGACGCCGGTAGTGCTTCGGAAGCGTGCGAGCAGGTCGATTGCCCAGTTGCAAAATGCATCGCCGGCAAAAATGACAGTGGTGCGCCCTCTCGGGCCGGATGATGTTACATTTCTTGCACCGCGTGGCCTGCACAAAATATGCAGGAAGAAGCTGGAGAAGAACAGCTCTTCGAGTGATGTCGGGCAGAAGCCTTGCTTGGTTGCCACTCGGGTCTGGGATTGGCCACGGGCAGCTGCTTTTCAACTTGCCCGACGAAGCTTAGCCAACGCTCCTGGTCGGGCCAAGCGTGGAAACTGGGTGCCGACTGATGCCGCCTGGCTACCTTGTTGGATTATTGAGTCCAAGCCACCGGAACGAAGCCAGGATCTGCCATGGCCGCGGCAACATAGGACAAAAGCCCCAAAATGTAGAATAAATTAAACCTGAGCTTCGATGTCGGGAGTTGGGCGTGGCACGCACCTTGACATCATCTCAGCTCCTGACATCACGGCGAAAGGGAGGACGAGGCTCTCCTTTCCAGCTTCCAGAAGTATCCTGCAACGAGAAGATGCCACTGGCAGGTCAAGGAAACAAAATGAAGAAACGGAAGCGTCCTTGAAAGAAATATTGCATTGTAGGCGTATCCTCCCTGAGCAATTGCTGCATACCGTCTCCTTCTTACTGACGTCTCCACGTGCACTTCCCGACAGCAGTGCTGCCGAGTTGCATAAACGAACAGGACAACTGCAAAGCTTTTCGTCAAGATGATGATCAAATGAGCAACCTCGACCAAGGGTTTTCAATCTTTATGCAAGTAGCCACACAGGAATGAGGCGGTGGCATCCAGTGAGCCAGATGTATCTGGGGATGCGTTGTTCGTGTACCTTGTATCCTGCGGAAGATAACTTCGTAGCAACACTAAGGCGGGATGAAACACGGGAATCTGCGCCGAAACCAGCCTGCCATGTCTCTCTGGCTGGCGAAGAAGCAACCTTCGTTTGCCATTCGTGATCGAGCTCCACTTGTCTCAAGGATTACAACTGATTACATACTGTACCGAACAATCAACGGAACATCACCAGAAGACTCATCGCAAACCTCGCTCCTTAACGTCACTGCTCTTGCCTGGCCTTGGACATGCGGGGCTTGAACGCCTACGTCCTGCTCGCTTTGCCCAGCCAGCTGGATGGCCAGAACAGTATATAATTAATTGCCAGGTGGGTTGTTCTTGCTAAGCCATGAAGATTTGGAAGATCCACAACGAGCAGAAGAAGTGGGTTGCTGCATAGATGCACGTTTGAGCCGACTACGCATGAGCCTCATCAATGTTGCGGCGCAGTCTACCGGAATAATGCACAGAACGGAGCGCCAGTATCCAGTGCAGCACGACACTGCCTGAATCGCCCAGACAGCTGGCATCAGCAAGCCACCTGCCAAGAACTACAGTAATGGCTGCTCTGTCGCATCTGTCCTGGTCTGCAGTGCAAGGCCCGCTCTCTGCCTACCTCTGCTGCCTATCTTTTTTTCCCTCTGCTGCCTATCAGGCTGCTGGCCTGTGACAGCCCGTGTGTCTGCGTGTCCTTTTCTGTCCCTCCGTGCGTGCGTCCGTCCGTCCGTGCATGCCGTCTTAGCATATTCAAGCAAGGGATCCCACCGTTTCCTTCTGTGGATGTGCGACGTGACCCATCCTATGTACCTGCTTCTGACCTGGCGATGTTGGAGACCACAATTTTCCCTTTCAGTCATTGGCAATCTTGACTAAGCTCTATCATCAGAGTTCATGATTTCGTGTTGTGTGAAGCCCCATGACCACATGGGTTTCAATGCGGCTTGCGCTAGTTAGTTGTTTTTCAGGACGGCAGAGCAGAGCTCTGCCCAAAAAAGCTCTCTGCAATGTAAGGGCTGATCACCCTGACACAGGTACAAGTACACAGCTTTCGCAACAGAGTCTGAAGCTGACAGCAGTTGGCAGTTGGAACAGCTGGTAAGAGTTGGTATTGGCACATGCGTAGCTGAGTTGCGCGGTTCGTCCGTCGTGCTGAATTGTGAGTCTGGGTACACATTGTGTCAAAGGCCGAAGTCCTGGCAGCTCGTCTGCTAGATCCGTTCGTTGGCATGTTGGCACATGTTGGCAACAAAGTTGGCATTGATGCCTGATGGAGTTGGCAAATGGGCTGAGGGCTGCGACATTGTTCTGCGAACTCAGTGGGGAAATGTAGCATGCCTGCAATCACGAATCGCCGAAATCATCAGCTCACGTCAGAAGAACTGCTCAGAACAAAAGCAGGCAGAGGTATAGGAGTGGCTGTGGCTCCGCCTGTGAAGCTCCCAGGCCTCGTTTGTTGGCACCGCTGGGGGCTACGATTTGGTTCTGTTAACTCATGGGGCCCTTTAGCATGCTTGCAAACTTCGAAGGACATGAGTGAGAATCTTGAAGCCGTGCAAAGCTGCGCTTCAGTGGCTTACGTACGTGACAACTCATGACCACACGACACGGGTTGGCACTGCAGCCTGCGATAAATTTTTGGAGCAGAGGAACCTTGCGACTCTGCCCAACGAAGCGCTCTGCAACGGTTCAGGATATCAGGGCTGATCACCCTGACGGACCTGCAATGTACAGAAACGTCTGCATCAGATGCTGAGTTGGAGCAGTTGGAATAGTTGGGCTGAATTGGCATCGTACGTGGTTCATTCGTCGCTTTGCAAAGTGTGTGAAAGTGCTTGCTTGCCTGCCCAGCGTATGGGTCTTTTACACAGGGTGCAGTGTCTTTCCCTGCTTGTCTCTGCATCTGTCAGCTGCCTGCACTCCTCCCGTCTCTGTCTGTGCTCCTCTGTCTTCACTCCAAGTCAGTGAGAAGCAACTTTCCTGGAGTGCTGAATCAGCAACTCTGTCTCGTGGGTTTTGTCGAATGCAACATGGAATCGCCTCTGAAACTCTTATCTCTCCCTGGCTTG